ACCTCTGGGGGAGTGGGTGCTTGCCAGGAGGGAGGGCAGGGGAGAGTGGGGGGAGGGGAGTGCCTGTTTGGCCCCTCTCTTCCCTTCTCTAATGCTGATGATCTGGTTTGCGGCCTCCAACTGGGACATTTTGCTTCCTTCCCCGGCCTCCAACTGGGACATTTTGCTTCCTTCCCGTTTGTCTCTCCATTTTTGTCTTCCCAAATCCTGTCCCCAGACCCTGAGCCAGCCTTCTTTGCACTTCCTTGCCCTTTGCTCCTATCCTCACTGCCTCTTGCCAGGGCAGGGAGGGTAAGGGGTGAGTCACTGGCTATGCAGGCAGCTTGGGGACAAGTGTAGGGAGACAGGGTTAGATGACAGCCTTTACACAAGCTGTTCCTTCCAGGCCTCGTAGGGGCCTGGAGCAGCTCCCCGAGGTCAGCAGAACCAGGGCTTTTGCTGGAGATTGCACTGTGGGTGCGGGCCAGCTTCCTCTTTGCAGCTTTCTAAAAATGACCTGGTTCCCAGAAGGGCTGTGGGGAGGGAAGTCGAGTTTCGGTTTCTGTGGCAGGGAAGCAGGGGAGAGAGGCCGCCTCCTCGCCCCCAGTCCTCACCCTGTCATCCTGTGATTCAGCTGGGGACAGACAGGTTCTCAGCAGCCCTGAGCCACCTCCCTTCCCTCCAGACTGCCCACTCGCCCACAGCTGTGAGCCCAGGGCCAGCTGGAAGGAGCTTCTGGGCCAGGTGGTGGTTTCTGTACTTCCTTGGTTCAGGAGACCTGAGCCCCTCCCTGCGGGAGGTCCCCTAAACTTCCTGATCGCATCTTGTGGTTAACAGTGGTCTGCCTCTTTCCTTTCTGGAGGGGCTGCTTACCCCTTTGTCCAAGGGCCCCTTCCTGCCTTCCCTCTGTCCCCATTTTTGGCCACGGCGGGCTGAGCCCTGGTTGTCAGTCGCCTGCCTGCTTCTGTCTGGGGCTGCAGCTGCTGCCCGCTCCCTGCCCTGGCTCGTAAAGTTCTCAGAGCCTGGTGGTTATGGAGAATCCATCCACCATTAGCAAGACCGAGGGACCCTCAGAAACCTGCTGGTGTGCCTTGGTGGCAGGCAGGCAGAGAGAGGAAGGGGACTGGAGCCCGACTCCTCGGACAGGTGGAACTGCACCTGGGGGCAGGTTGGGAGGGGATGGTGGGTCCATACAGGCCAGGGAGAGGAGGTGCCCCTCCAGCACCCTGCCTGGCCCTGCACTCTAGTGTTCTGTCGAGGGACCTCCCTGGGGGAGGCCTCGCTTACCCTGGCAGTGTCCGTCGGGACAGGGCTTAGCTGGCAGTGCCCAGCCCCACTCTTTGTGGGGAAACCGGATTCTCTGGCGGCATTGTCTGGTTCCTGAGTCTGCCTTTCTGTCGTATGTGCCTGATCCTGGCTGCTGCTCGCTGGGTTATGCTACTGGGGGTGGGGGTACTGACCTGGGTGGAGTGGGGTACAGAAGTCTCAATGCATGGGTCCCTCGGGATGATTTGAGCTCGGTACTTCACTTTTGCTTTCAATCTGCCCCACCCCATGCTGGACCCTACCCTAAACCTCCTCCCTCTACCTAGGCCCCTTTGGGGTCTCCTAGTTACTCTGGAGTTGGGGCTGAAGGCCCTTTTCTGGGGAACGCCCTACAGAGGCCAGGATCCAGCTTGGACAGGTGGCAGTGGCCTGGCTGGGTGAGGCAGGCCCTCCAACCTCCTGCCCCCCACCCACGGGCTGGGCACTGCGGCAGGCCTGGGAGTCTTAGAGGAGCAGCGGATGTGACTGTAGGTCAGGAGGAAGCCTGGTCCCAGGATGTCACAATTTCCTCTGCAGTGAGCAAGCATGTCTGGCGCGCAGGAGATAAGTGTTGGGCGGGGCTCCTGAAGCTCCAGCACTTTCTCTGCCTGATCTCTGCCATCCAGCCTCCTCCATGCCCTGGACTTGGGTTGTGCAGGCGCCCAGAGTGGGTCTGATAGCCCCTGCACCTGCCAACCCCCCATCCCTTCCCTCCCTGAGTCCCAAGGAAGGGGCTGGGCTTCTGGCCCACCCACCCACCGTTTCTGTACAAGTTGGGGGCACGCAGTCTCAGGAGCAGGCCTTCCCCTCCGTGGTGGAGAGGGGCTGGGGGAGAGTGGTGTTTTTATACCAAATGTGTGGGCTTTGAGCGGGTCAAAGCTGGGCCATCACCTTGTCCAACTCCCTCCCTTAACAGAGAAGGAAACTGAGGCTGAGGGTGTAGCTGCTTATAGGCCAGGACTCATGGCACGGCACTGTGAAGATGGTTAGGATGGCTCTCTTGGATACCACGCTCCTCCCCGGGGAAATGCGCCCGCCAGCCCTGCCTCTGCTCTCTAGGGCCAGGCCACTTCTCTTTGGGACCCCCAGGATTGCCCTGGGGCTGTCCCATCTCCCCAGTCCTTCAACCTGGGGTTGTATCAGGAGATTCACACAGATGCCACCAGCACAGCGGGTCCCGGGTCAGGGGTCCCAGCCAGGGGTAATATGGCCTTGGGACAGGAGGGCTGGCTAGGGAGAGGGGAACAAGAGGCCCACTGGGGACTCATCCTGGGATGGCATCCTCCATCCTTGGCCCTGCAGTGGTCGCGGAGCCGGGGCAGAGCAAGCAGCACTTGGTGGAGCCTTGCAAAGGGGGCTGCTTCCTGGGCTGGGTGCAGGTCTGGGGGAGACAGTTTCTGTCCAGGGTCGATGTAGACTGACCATCTGCAGCCATGCATGTGCCCAGCCTCTCACCTGCCTCCCATCCAGTTAGTCATTAGTGGGAGCTAGCCATGTTCCAAGCTATGCTGCCCAGGGTCAGCTGAGGGACACCTGTACTATCGTAGGCAAATCTCTGCAGGATGCTATGGGAGGGCAGGTGAGAAAGTGATTGATTCTGTCGGATGGTGACTGGGCAGGCTTCCTGGAGGAGGTGATATTTTACCTTCTTTAAAGCAGCTGGCAGGCATTGGCCAGACAGATGAGGGGGGGCCTAGTGTGCCAGGTTCAGGGTCTCAGATGAGAGAAGGTGGGAGCTGCAAGGGATGTGGTGTGTCCAGTGAGGTGTGGGGGCAGGTCCTGGAGGGCGCTGGGTGCTGACTCAGGGGAGGTGTGATCAGCTCTGACCTTCAGAAGAATCCTACCTGCTTGGTGACCTTACCCGAGCTCAGGCCTGGCAGCCCCACCCTCACCCCAGCCTTCCTCTGCTGCCTGCCTCCCTCCTTGGTGCCAATATCCCAGGGCAATGCTTGCCCGATGCCCTCTCACTGCACCCTGGTCCCAAAGGAGGCCAAGCTAGGGAACTTTCCGTGCAGGGGCCCCAGGTGAAGCTGTTGTCTTGGAGCTGTCCCTAGAGTGGGTGCAGAGTGGCGTCTGAGGAGCCAGCCGGCCCAACACCAAGGCCCGTGTGCCGGTGATCTCTGAGGGGGCCTCGTCATCCTTGGCCAGTCTGCCTTCGGGTGTGGGGTCAGGACCCACAGCACTTTGGGATAGAGGAGTCTGTTGGTCAAGACTTAAAGAAGCAGGCAGCATCCTGGGCCCCCAGCTCTGCCTCGGATCCCTCTGGTGCCCCTCCCTTCACACCCAGAGTTCCTCTCACCTGTAGTTGGAGGACTTGGGCAGCGGAAGCAAGAGGCCCGATCCAATATGTAAAGCAAAAGGGGCGCTGCCCTAAGGAATCAGAAGGGGGCCCAGACCCTCCCCCAGCCTCTGGTTCACCTCATGGCAGCCCCTCAGGCACCTCTGTGTACCCCAGGCCTCTAAGGAACACAGTTTGCAAAGCACTGGGATGCTCCACCAAGTTTCCCTGCAGGCTGGACTCGCCACTCGCTTCCTGCTGGGGGCCGTCCAGCCCTGGGTGTACTACAGCTTTGGGGGAGGTGTGTGTTTTCCAAGGAGACCTCAGGCCCAGGAGCCAGAGTGACTTGAATCCCAGTCATTCCCCTTCCTGGCTGGATGAGCTTGGGCAAGTTAGTTAACCCCTCTGAGCCTCCATTCCCCACCCACGAAATGGAAGCGATGATAACATCTGCCTCGAAGAGGGTTTTGGGGACAGAGTGGGATAATGCAGTGAAGGGCGAGCAAGGCCTGGCGCCCTGAGGACTTGGCCCTGTCCTGCCCCCGGCAGCCCTCGGGCTCTGCTCCAGGAGGGCTGTGCTCTGAGATGCCGGCAGAGTCTCCCCTGCTCAGGACCTCTCAGAGACAGAGGAATGCCACCGAGCTGTTCTCTTTTAAATGCTTAATTTTATCTTTTGTGGATTTCTCTTCAATAAATTATTAAAGAACCCAAGCAACAACAAAATAGTTCCAAACCCTTTGAACACTGCCTTAAATGTCCAGTTTACTCTAATTGGAAAAGAAATCTTAGGGCCGGCCCCGTGGCTTAGCGGTTAAGTGCGCGCGCTCCACTGCTGGCGGCCCGGGTTCGGATCCTGGGCATGCACCGACGCACCGCTTCTCCGGCCATGCTGAGGCCGCGTCCCACATACAGCAACTAGAAGGATGTGCATCTATGACATACAACTGTCTACTGGGGCTTTGGGGGAAAAATAAATAAAATTATAAAAAAAAAGAAAAGAAAAGAAATCTTAATGAGAAGACAGCCAACGATTCCTGGGTTTTTTTAAGTTAAATGTTTCTAGTAAAGTTATGTTGAAACAGAAAAAAAAAAAAAGTGGGGACCATCTTGATTTTGGGTTCCCAGCCCAGAGCGGGGGTTTTTTGGTGGTTTTTTTAGGTGATCGCCCTGAGGATAGAGCCCCTGGCTGCCTGGCTCTCTGAGCACCCGGCTCACCCCACAGGGGCTCTAACTCCAGGTTAGGAGGGGGACACGTTGCCTTTACTCCCTCATCCAGGAGGCTGGGGGATGATCCCCACTTTATAGATGAGAAGACTGGGGTCAGGAAGATGAAAAGACACAGCGGTCCTGTCGTGCCCCCTTGAGCTGCCCTTCCTTCCTAGGAGCCATGAGCACCAAGGGAGCTGCCTGCTTGACCTGGAGCCGTCTGGCCACCTTTCCATCTGTCTCTGCATCCATCCACCTCTCCGCAGAGGTGAGGCTTGACCCCAGAGCATCTGTACAGAGTGAGGAGAGGGCTAGAATGCTCTAAAGGCCTTTGCAACAAGGCCCAGGAAGCTTTGAGCTGAGCCCAAACTCTGAAGGTAGGAAGTGGGTAGCAGGCAGGCTGGACCCAAAGCACTATCTGCTTTGATTGTTTATTTGTTGTTCAACAACTACGTGCTGATGCTCCTTGTGGGCCAGCTCTCTTCTGGCAGTGGAGATGCAGCAGTGAATAAGGCAGAAAGAAGGCAGAGAGGGAGGTGACCAGGGTGAAGTGATGGAGAGACACAGGGATGGGTGGGGGGCACTGCTTCAGGCAGTCAGGGAAGGCTCCTTGGAGGAGGTGGCTCTTGAGCTAGGACCAGAGTGATGAGAGGGAGCTGCATGCTCCACTATGTGATCAGAGATCTGGAGTCTCTGATCTGGTCTCTGATCTGGAGACTCAGTGACCAGTATGAGCAGAGACCCAACATTTATGGAGCAGCTGCTTAAGACTAACGATTTTATTGAGAGAGAATTCACAAAACCATAAAATTCACCATTTAAAGTGTACAATTCAGTGGTATTCAGTACCTTCACAAGTATGTGTAACCATCACCACATCAACTTTAGAACATTTTCATCACCTCAGAATGAAACCCACACCCTTTAGCTGTTCCTCACCCCCGCCGTGGTCTTCCTTCCCCAGTCCTAAGCAACAACTAATCTACCTCTGTCTATAGATTTGCCAATTCTGTGCTTTCATATGAAGGGATTCCTGTAGTACATGGTCTTTTGTGTCTGGCTTCTTTCATTTGGCATAAGGTCCCAACGTTCATCCATGTGGTAGCATGTGTCAGTGCTTCACTCCTGTTTGTGGCTGAGTAATATTCCATTGTGTGGCTATAGTACATTTTGTTTACCCATTTGTCTGTTGATGGGTGTCTGGGTTGTTTCCACCTTTTGGCTCTGACGAACGTACTGCTGTGAACGTTCCTGAACAAGTTTGTGTGGACCCCCTGCCTGTATCATGTGTTCGCTCATTTGATGCTCAGGATGCCTCTCCGAGGAAGGAGGTTTTCCCCCCGATCTCAGGTGAGGACTTGGGTGACCCTTGGTCACGTGCAGGCCCGTGTGTGGGTCAGGCCCAGCCCGCCTAGCTCCAGTCTGTGCTTTTTACCACGACCTCCAGCGCCACCCAGCAGAGCTTGGCAGGTGCAAGACAGTGGGGGGCCCAGAGTGGTGGAGTGGGCAGTGAGGGCAAGGAGGAAACGGAGCCACATGGGGCCCAGAGGCTCCAGTGAGAAGTCTGGACTTTATTTTAAGTCAGAATAGGAAATCCTGGGACACTGTTGAGCAGGGAGTGACATAGGGTGATTCGTGCTTTTAAAAGGTGACTCTGCTGCTGTGTGGAAACTGGTCATGGGGCTGGGGGCTGGGGGAGCAGCAGGCAGAGGAGTCAGGAGACCGCTGTGATCCCTCAGCTGAGAGAAAATGGTGGCTCTGGTGGCGGCCGGGTGGAGGTGGAGGAGAGGGACAGACTTGGAACAAAGGTGGCCGCTGCTTTGCCCAGTGGTCCCAGACCTGAGCCCCACGTGCCCTTGGCTGGAGGGCTCCGTGTGCCCCTCCCCGTCTGTGCACACCCAGGGTCAGTACCCACCTCGGCGCATGGGCGTGGAGTCCCTGGCCTGGTGAACGAGGAGGAGAAATGAACCCTGTCCCGGCAGCCTTGGGAAATGGGAAAAGGAAGTAGCTAAGGCTTCTAGCAAGAAAAAGGTCACAGGGCAGGCGCAAGCAATGAAATGAAGAGAGCAGAACAGGCAGAGGGTGTTAATTCTGGGGGGTCTAAGGGGAAGTGGGGGGTGGCGGCACGAGCAAGAGTGGAAAAGCCCCAAATTTACGCAAATGATGGGGTCAGTTGCCACCTCCTCTTGGCAGGGCCATTTGGCAAGATCTATTGAAATTCAAGATGCACTTTTCAACCCGGCAATTCCCCTTCTAGAACTTTCTCTCGTGCTAATACTGGGACAGGCACGCATGGCATAGGTGAGGGTGTTCATTAACACTGGACACAAGTCTAAAATACCAGAAACGTCCTGAACATCCTAGACAACCATCAGTCTGGAATTGACTAAGTCTTGGCACCTTCCACTCAGTCAAGTCTTTACAGTCAAGAAGGACGAGGTAGCTCTCTCTGTATGTGTCGGCAGGGAAAGACGCCCAACTATAGGAGCAAAGGTGTGAGTGTGTGTAAGATTTTAAGTACATGTGTCCTTTTCCAGGTGCAGGGGGGCATCTGGACGGATATGGACACTGGACTCTTTCCTGGAGGACAGGGTGACAGGCGGGCCACCTGTTCACTTTCTGCTGTGTAGTCTTCTGAGTCTGGTTTTTATGAGCATATATCACTTTCATCATTAAGATACAATATTTTCCTCTGTGAAAAGAAACAAGTACCAGACAGGTGGCAGTTTCAGTTACCCTTGAAAAAGGAAGCAGGCAGCGCTGTGGGACAGGGACCGGTGTGGTGGCATTCTCATCTAGCTGGGAATGAGGCTGAGCCACCACCTCCTCATTCGCGGTGCAGGGACTCCTCCGGGAACCGCCTGCCCCTGGCACAGATGTGGGCCCTCGTTTGTGGCTGGCACACCAGGTTGCTGTGGTGTCTTCCTCTTGTCCTCCCTTAAGCTCTGCCCCAGGGACAGAGGCAGGGCTGTTTGTCCAAGGAAGCTGCCCTCCGTCCCCCTGCCCTGCCCGAGGCAGGCCCACAAGGTGGCATCTCCACATCCTTGGCCCTCATGCTCCTCTCTGGGTGTGGTCCTTGCCTGAAGCAGAGAGACCCAGAAATGCAACAAGGTGACAAGTTGGGGGCCTCCCAGACCCCTGCTGTCCTGGAATGCAAATGAAGGACAGAAATAGACCTTGCAATATGTCACTCAGCCCACATTCAGTCTCGGCTACGTGATTCAGTGTCCAGAGTTTGAACCAACTTTTGGCAGGTTGTTCTCAGTCTGGGCTGCCCACCTTGGCACCAGGGTCCCTGTGTCCCCTCTGGTTCAGCTGCCTCTCGACACACTCATTCCTCCTCTCCCTGTCTCCATTCCAGCCACCCTGCCCCTCTGCCCGCCATGGCCTCCGCTGACAAGAATGGCGAGAGCACCTCTTCTGTGTCCAGCAGCCGCCTGCAGAGTCGGAAGCCACCCAACTTGTCCATCACCATCCCGCCACCTGAGACCCCGGCCCCCAGCGAGCAGGCCAGCCTGCTGCCCCAGGTAAGGGAGCGGCCTGGGCTCGCTGCCCTGCCACAGGCAACAGCTGTGCCCACATGACACCTTTCAGGCAGTTCCACTTCCCAGAGGAGGCACAGCTGCCGGTGTAGTCCCTAACTTAGGCCTGTGCCCGCTCCTTCCTGGCCCCAAACGGCTCAGGGACTGGGCCCTGAACTCAGGAGCTCCATCTCGTGGTGGTGCAGGGAGAACAGGAAATGCTCTCCTTGAGGAAAGCTTGCCAGTCCCACCTGGGACCTGGCTGTTTCCATTTCCCTGCCAGGCCCAGGCCCTTCAGCGAGTGTGGGCCGTCTCTGACGTGGGTGAAGGGGCACGGCGCGTCTGGAACATCAGCGGCCTGACCTTGCAGTGCCTGGCTCCTGTGGGAGAATGGAAATGATTCAACGTTTCCGACAGTCTGGACCATTGCTCCATAAAGAGCTCATTGAAAACTGGCTTGAAACAGTGTGGGCTTCCCGCACAGCCTGGGCACAAAGGGATGCTGTGTTGATGCCCCCAGTTCACTCAAAGGGCTGTTTCGAACATGTGAGAACATCACGGCCTAACGAGGGAGCACAGCATAGGGAGTTAGGGACATGCATGCTAGGGTTTGCTGAAAAACATTAGAAAATGGTGATTTTACATTCAGAGTGAAAGCAGCTCGGGGGGTCTAAATTGAGGTTCACGTTTGTTCTCTCCGGGTTTTCATGTTGGGAGCCAAACCCGGGGTCTGGGCTCCACAAAGCCACAGCCTGTCCTCTCTCCTGCCTCACCACAGAGGCCCAGGAATCCAGCCTACTTGAAGAGCGTTAGCCTCCAGGAGCCACGGGGACGATGGCAGGACGGCAGCTCAGAGAAGCGCCCCGGCTTCCGCCGCCAGGCCTCCCTGTCCCAGAGCATCCGCAAGTGAGCATCCTGCCCAGCCTCCCCCTCAGCGGCCCTGTAGATTCTTGGCACCTGCACGTTTGCTGGGCCTGGCCCCAGTCCCCTTTCTAGAAAGAGTAGGCATGCATTACTGAGCAGCGTCTCCCTTCAGGGGTTGAACATGAAAATCGAACACCATGTTACAGGTGGGAAACTGAGGCCCAAGAGGGATATGTGCCTTGTAGAAAGTCATAATGTGTGGGCCGGCCCTGTGGCTTAGTGGTTAAGTGCGCGCGCTCCGCTGCTGGCGGCCCGGGTTCGATCCCGGGCGCGCACCGACGCACCGCTTCCCCGGCCATGCTGAGGCCGCGTCCCACATACAGCAACTAGAAGGATGTGCAGCTATGACATACAACTATCTACTGGGGCTTTGCGGGGAAAAACATAAATAAAATTTAAAAACAAAAAAGAAAGTCATAGTGTGGAGGCCGTGGGGGTTCAAGGAGCTGGGGGTGGACTACTGCCTCCCTTAGGCCTTCCCAGCCCAGCCCCTCATGCTCTGGACTTAATCCACCCCCGCTCATCTCATCACTGGGTACCAAACTAGGGACTCACGGGGAAGCTGATCTGCCCCTCCCACTGCACGTACACGTGCCCTGTCCCCTCCCCTGCACATGAGCACTGTCACCTCTCACATCCATTCCCCTGTACACACGTGCACTGTCACCTCATGTCACCTCCCCTGCATGCATACATGCCCTATCACCTCCCCTGCACACACGTGTACCATCACCTCTTGTGTTACCTCTCACATCCATTCCCCTGCACACAAGTGCACTGTCACCTCATGTCACCTCCGCTGCATCCACATGTGCCCTATCACCTCCCCATACATGCGCACCATCACTTCTTGATACCTGTCACATCACCTCCCCTGCATACACGAGTGCACTGACACGTCACCTCCCCTGTGCACGTGTCCTGTCATCTCGCATGTCACCTCCCCTGCACACGCACAAATGCCCAGTGCACGTGTCCTGTCACACCCTCACCGTAGTTTGATCACTGTGCACACACCCACCTGTTCGTTTTCTGTCTGCCCCTGCAGGGGCACGGCCCAGTGGTTTGGGGTCAGCGGCGACTGGGAGGTGAAGCGGCAGCACTGGCAGCGCAGGAGCCTGCACCACTGCAGCGTGCGCTACGGCCGACTCAAGGCCTCGTGCCAGCGGGACCTGGAGCTCCCCAGCCAGGAGGGGCCTTCCTTCCAGGGCACCGAGTCTCCAAAACCCTGCAAGATGCCCAAGGTGGGTTCCATCGAGGGTCAAGGGGGCGGCAGGTGACTTCACCCAGGGGCCTGATCAGCTCTGCTCAGCTCCTCCCTCCCTTTCAGATTGTGGATCCGCTGGCACGAGGACGGGCGTTCCGCCACCCTGATGAGGTGGACCGGCCTCATGCGGCGCACCCACCACTAACCCCTGGGGTCCTGTCCCTCACCTCCTTCACCAGTGTCCGCTCTGGCTATTCCCACCTGCCCCGCCGCAAGAGAATGTCTGTGGCCCACATGAGCTTTCAAGCTGCTGCCGCCCTCCTGAAGGTGAGAACACCTCTCCCGCGTCTGCCTAGCCTCCCTCCCTCGGCCCTCCCTCCCTCCCTCCCTCTCCCCAAAGCATCCCCAAGAGCTCCCCCAGGCGTCTCCCTCTGTGCCAAGGGCAGTGGATACGCTGGGATCCCTGGGCTGAGAGAGGGGCCCCAGGGCCCCGTGGCCAGGCCCACTTCCTTGTAGCCCCAGTTCTCTCTAGTTTGGGAAGCTGGTTTCTGCACCGGCACATCAGCTGGGGGAGTAGGAAGTGAAACGTCACAACTCATTCACCCATGTTCGCTGAGCCCCTGTTATGTGCTGGGCACGGGGGCTGCAGAGTGAAATGAGCCCAGGTCACTGCCCTGGAAGAACCCCCAGCCCAGCTGAGGGCAGACATCACCATTCAGTATGATAAGTATTGGGGGGCCTTCCCAGAGGAGGTGCTGTCCCATCTCACCCAGGAGAGGGGCTGGTGCCAGGGAAGGCACTTGAGTGACTCAGAAAAATCAGGAAAAGTTCTCCAGGAAAGGAAGGAAGGGAATGGCATTCTCAGCAGAAGGAATGGCCTGTGCAAAGACTTGGAGGTAGGAAGGGGGCATGGCACTTTGGGAGAGCAGCAGGTGGTTTGATGTGGTTTTAGTGAGGTGTGGTTACAAGAGGAGTGGCAGGAGATGGGAAGGTGGGCAGGGTCCTGGTGTGCCGTGCCGAGAAGCTGGCACTGGGGAGACATGGCCCCAGCCTCAGGAGTAGGGGTACAGGGTGAGTGATGGGGTGCCAGCTGCCTAAGCCAGAGGCCAGGAGGTCACCAGAGAGAAGACAACAGCAAACCATGGTTTGAGAGGGATGCGTTGAGGGCTATGGAGAAGATGGGGTTCCTGGCCTTCTCTCCCAGATGGTCTATGCTCTGGGCGGGGTCCCGCCTCCCAAGGCGCTGCCCCCAGGATGGGCTTGATGATTCCTTTGGTGTTGAGGGGTGGGGGTGCCTGAGTTGGGCCTGATGCCTGTACCTCTGCCCTGTCACAGGGGCACTCGGTGCTGGATGCCACGGGACAGCGGTACCGGGTGGTCAAACGCAGCTTTGCCTACCCCAGCTCCCTGGAGGAGGACGTGGTCGATGGGGCAGACACATTTGACTCCTCGTTTTTTAGTAAGGCAAGCATGGGGTGTGGGCCCTTGGGGACGGGGAGACAGGCTGGGCTGACAGCTAGGAGAGATGACCTGGCCTCAATCATCCTCCGACAGAGCCCCTGAGGAGGGATCCAAAGGCCCATTGGTGGGGTGGGGAGTGCCACCTCGTGGAGCTCCTTGGTCACCATCTTTCTGTTGGGCAGAGTGAGGACCTGGGGGTAGGGCAGAGTGCCAACCAGGAAAGTTACCATCAGGGCTGACAGGCACGTGGCTTCCACTCCCCTCCCAAAAGCCTGCCTGTCCAGCCTTGTCCTGTCCTTGAATTGAGCTGTTGGGGCAGTATTTGGGACAGTGACTCCTCACACTGTCTCTTTTTGTGTCCCCCAATCCACCCCCACCCCAGGAAGAAATGAGCTCCATGCCCGATGATGTGTTTGAGTCTCCCCCACTCTCTGCCAGCTACTTCCGGGGGATCCCACGCTCAGCCTCCCCGGTCTCCCCTGATGGGGTGCAGATCCCTCTGTGAGTTCCGGATGGTCCCTCCTCCAGGTGGAGGGAGGTAGCACAATGGGGCAAGGGCTCCCTGGAGCCCAGTGACCCACCTGGGGGCTTCCCCAGACCACGAGTCCCTCCTGAGCCCCCTTCTGGGATGTGTGGGAGGGGCATCAGACTGAGAGCTACTATCCCCACCAGGAAGGAGTATGGCCGAGCCCCGGTCCCTGTGGCCAGGCGCGGCAGGCGCATCGCGTCCAAGGTGAAGCACTTTGCCTTCGACCGGAAGAAGCGGCACTACGGCCTGGGCGTGGTGGGCAACTGGCTGAACCGCAGCTACCGCCGCAGCATCAGCAGCACCGTGCAGCGGCAGCTGGAGAGCTTCGACAGCCACCGGTGAGCAGGAGCGCGTGGTGGCCAGCGCTGCCTGTCCTGTGGGCCCCCCCCACCCCATGAGAGTGGGGTTTGGTCACCACTCTTGAGAAGCCCTCGGGTAGGCAGAGGGGAGAGGGGCTGAGAGCTTCCGTGTTCCCCTGGGCCCTCTCCTGAAGTGCCCCCTTCTTCATTCAGCAAGTGTTTGGTGAGCACCTCCTGACAGCAAGTGTCAGGAGAGCAGGGACAGGTCCTCTGGGTCACCTTTGAGCATGCACATCACCCAGGAAGGGTCCTCGGGTGCTTGCTGCCTCCTCTCCACCCTCTCCACTTTCTGGGCCTGCATCCTCAGCTGGGCTCCCAGACAGCAGCCAGTCAACCAGCATTCACTGAGTGCCACCACACAGGCCCTGGAACAGAGCTCCAACATCATGGAGCAGGGAGGGCAGGGTGGGTCAGGGGAGAGTTAGAAGCTGTGACTGAGGGAGGGGACTGGGAGAGGACATGCACAAAGACCTCAGGGGAAGCTGGAGGATTGAGGAGGGGGAGTTCCCACAGAGTACACAGTTGGCAGCGACCTGATAGACACTGGACCTAAAATTACAAAAAATTAAGTAATAACAGGTGTAGTGGTTGTCCTGGAGAAAGAGGACCGAGTGGGAGTGACCAGCTGGTGGGGAGGGATGAGTTAGGATGATGAACAGCAGTTAGCTGGGTGAAGAGAAGATGAGAAGAGCTTCCCAGGCAAAGGAAGCATCATGTGTAAAGGCCCTGAGGCTGCAGGGAACAGGGTGTGTTCCAGGAACTGCAAGGGGAGAGGAAAGAGGCCAGGGAGGTGGGCAGGCACAGCAAGGCCTTGCAGCCAGCAGGAGGGGGCAGTGTCAGACTTTGTCCCAAGGGCAGCAGGAAGCCGTCAAAGGGATTTAAGCTGGGAGAAAGATGCGTAGCAGGGCATTTTAAAAGTCTTTGTGGTGAAGGATGAGTTGGCAGGGAGAGAAGTAGAGGGTAGGGAGCCGGTGAGAGCAGGTGGTGGCTGGGCTCAGCAGGGCCGAGGGTTGGGATGTGAGTTCGGCTCTGCTGACCCGAGGCCTCTGCCGCAGGCCCTATTTCACCTACTGGCTGACCTTTGTCCACATCATCATCACGCTGCTGGTGATTTGCACATACGGCATCGCGCCCGTGGGTTTTGCCCAGCATGTTACCACCCAGCTGGTGAGTTGGCTACAAAAGTGGGGCTCCACCCTGGGGGTCCTAGCCCCCCAAGAGGCTTCAGCATCCTGGATCCCCGAATCCCTCCCCTGGCAACAACCTGGCCCAAGCAGGAGGGTGCTCTGGGCTCACTGCGGCTTTGCCCCTTGGCCCCTTCCTGGGGCCCTACCCTGGGATGGGGAAACCGCTGACCCCTTCCTTCCCCCTCTGCACCAGGTGCTCAGGAACAAAGGTGTGTATGAGAGCGTGAAGTACATCCAGCAGGAGAACTTCTGGATCGGCCCCGGCTCGGTGAGGGGCCCAGGCAGGGACAGCATCTCAGCAGGGAGCCCCTGGGCCCTGTCACCCCGCGCTGGGCAGGGAGGGGGTCAGCTCGCCTGGCAGCCTCCCCTTATCAGTGGACCCTCAGGGGAGACAACAGAGCCTCCAGGCCTGGTTCCAAGCTTATACCCCCTGTCCCCCAGATTGACTTGATCCACCTGGGAGCCAAGTTCTCGCCCTGCATCCGGAAGGACAGGCAGATCGAACAGCTGGTGCTGCGAGAGCGAGACCTGGAGCGGGACTCGGGCTGCTGCGTCCAGAATGACCATTCAGGCTGCATCCAGACCCAGCGGAAGGACTGCTCGGTGGGGGCAGGGGCCATTCACCCTGGGCCCTGTGACTCCGGCAGCCCTGCTCTGGTCCCTCCTGCACCATCTCTACTTCCCTGGCCTGGGGGAGGGGCTCTTCAAGGGCAGTGTCCGTGTTCCCTCTTCCTTCTCCTGCCCTTTCCGGCCCAACACTCCTCCTCGGCCCCATGCACCCCTGTCTGCGGCCCAGCACAGGGAGGGTGTCAACTTCCCCAGTCCCAGAAAAGTGAAAGCCAGGTCTTAGCAATGTTAGCCAGGGGTGGGACTGGGGGTCTAGAAGATGGGCCTGAGCCCTGGGAAATGGGAAGAGCCCTTGTCCTGGAGGGTCCCCTGCCCACTCTATTGGTGGTGGCCTTGTCCTGGCATGACCAGCCTGTCTCCATCCTCCAGGAGACTTTGGCTACTTTTGTCAAGTGGCAGGATGATACGGGGCCCCCCATGGACAAGTCTGATCTGGGCCAGAAGCGGATATCAGGGGCCGTATGCCACCAGGACCCCAGGTACAGTTCCAGGGGGGCCTGCGGCCGGGCTGTCTGAGAAGGTGGGGTTGAGTATCCCGTTATCTGTTCCCACAGGGATGTTGGCGGGTGGGTGTGGCAAGCTGGGGGTGCCACAGCCTCTCCTTTTGCCCCCTCTGACCTCTGCCTCCAGAACCTGTGAGGAGCCAGCCTCCAGTGGTGCCCACATCTGGCCTGATGACATCACCAAGTGGCCGGTGAGTGTCCAGGGCAGAGAGTGGTCTGGGAAGGGTGGAGAGGGGGCGCCCACCACCGCACAGGCCAACCCCCCTGTTGGTGTCCCTGCCGGCAGATCTGCACAGAGCAGTCCAGGAGTAACCGCACGGGCTTCTTGCACATAGACTGCCAGATCAAAGGCCGCCCCTGCTGCATCGGCACCAAGGGCAGGTGAGCTGGCCCGGGCACCCTGCCCAGAGCTTCCTGTGCTCCCCCTCCACCACCCACACCCTGACTGATGTCCTCTCTTCGCCACTCGGGCCACCCATGGTTTGAGCAGGATGAAGGGGAGCTTGCCCCAGAGCCGGGGTCTCTGCAGAGGGGCACCCCCTTCCTGCCAGTGATGCCTGCTATGGCTAGGCACTGGGCTCTGGGCAAGGTGGGCAGGGGTACCTAGGGCTATGACGTGCCCCCTTGCCTCCCCATCCCCGCAGCTGTGAGATCACAACTCGGGAATACTGTGAGTTCATGCACGGCTATTTCCACGAAGAGGCGACGCTCTGCTCCCAGGTGAGGTGGGGCCTGGTGGTGTCCTGGGCATAAGCTGGGCATGGCAACCTACTGGAGCTGGGCCTCGTGATTCCCTCCTGCGGCGGGTATCTGGCTCTGCCCCCTACATCGGAGCCCCCGACCCAGCCGGGTCCCAGGTGCTGACCACCCTGCACTCGCCCCCAGGTACACTGCTTGGACAAGGTATGTGGGCTGCTGCCCTTCCTCAACCCCGAGGTCCCGGATCAGTTCTATAGGCTCTGGCTGTCTCTGTTCCTCCACGCTGGGTAAGAGGCTCCTCGCTGCCCACCCCCCTCCCAGCTCCCCCGATCCCTGTGGTGACTGCCCACCTGGACCCCCTGAGGAGAGGCTCCCGGGCCAGGACACAGCTGGCACAACCTCCCAGGCCCCATTGCTCCTGAAGGGCTGGCTGGTGACTGTGGGCAGACATGGGAAGGCTGATGTCTGGTGTATCCGCCACCCCAGCCTGGTGCACTGCCTCGTGTCTGTGGTCTTCCAAATGACCATCCTGCGGGACCTGGAGAAGCTGGCCGGCTGGCACCGCATTGCCATCATCTTCATTCTCAGCGGCATCACTGGCAATCTTGCCAGCACCATCTTCCTCCCGTATCGGGCAGAGGTAGGGACTCGGGGGATGGAGCAGGGAGGGCCGGCTGGGCTGCTCTCCACCCCTCCTGCCTGGGGTCTGCCAGAGGGACACACGGCCCCTCCCATGCCGGGCTTGACAGCAGATGGACAGCTAAGCTAGGGGTTTATTGGCCAATCCCTTAATCCCCGGGCACGAGGGAGCAATGGTGCCCCTGAGTCATGCTCAGACGTCATCTCCAGGAAGACCTTCCCAGACCCCATTCCTCACTCTGTTCCTCTTCTCTGCCTCATTTCTCTTCACGATTATGACCACTGCCTGCCACCACGTCACATATCCATAGGTTGAGCCTATGAAATTGCCAACATGTGACCGTTGTTCACCCATAGAAATGGCAGGTTTTTGATCAATTCAATTTAATGCTGTTGGCTTGTTCAGTGCCTGTCCCCTCCCACCAAATGCCCCCTGGAGTGTCTTGTCTGTCATACTTATTACACTGGGCAAACAGTAGGTGCTCAATGTTGGCTGAAAGGATGGGTGGAACAAGCCCGGCTTTAGTCTGGAAGCTCCAGCTCACCCCCAGCCCCTCAGCTTTAGGGCCCCCACCCCTGGGAGGGGCTCCCAGATAGGATGACCCAGGTCCCAGTGCTCCAGCTGGCTGTGCCCAGGGCTCCCTGCGAAGGCTTCCCACCTGGTACCCAGGGGTGACGCAGCTCTCCTCCTGCCCCAGGTGGGCCCAGCTGGGTCGCAGTTCGGCCTCCTCGCCTGCCTCTTCGTGGAGCTCTTCCAGAGCTGGCAGCTGCTGGAGCGACCCTGGAAGGCCTTCCTGAACCTGTCGGCCATCGTGCTCTTCCTCTTCGTCTGCGGCCTCCTGCCCTGGATCGACAACATCGCCCACATCTTCGGCTTCCTCAGCGGGCTGCTGCTGGCCTTCGCCTTCCTGCCCTATATCACCTTTGGCACCAGCGACAAGTACCGCAAGCGAGCCCTCATCTTAGTGTCGCTGCTGGTCTTCGCCGGCCTCTTCGCCTCGCTCGTTGTCTGGCTCTACGTGTACCCCATCAACTGGCCCTGGATCGAGTACCTCACCTGCTTCCCCTTCACCAGCCACTTCTGCGAGAAGTACGACCTGGACCAGGTGCTGCACTGACCACCGGCCCGGTGGGGCTGGACGCAGCTGCTGCCCACAGAGCACCACTGACACAGGGACTGTGGCTGGGACGGGCTGCTGTCCGCAGAGCGCCCCACCCCACACTCCAGAGACCCACCACCGGGGCCCAGGTGCTCCCGACTCCATGGGAGATGGTCATAAAGGCGGGCTCCCTGGGGGCATGAGGAGCCTTCCTCAGGTCTGTGTGTCCCTGGCCCAGGCTGGGGGACGCTCCAAGCACATGCTTCTCTGCAGCTCACGGCCCAGGCCAACTTCCCGCTCCCCTGCTGTCGGGACCACCTCCTGGGGGTGGGCTTCTTCTCAGGATCCTCAGGCTGCTGCTGGTGCCTTCTCCCCCACCATTACTGAGCCCTTCCGGGGACCCCACCAGGTTCTCACCCCACCTCACCATGGTCCCCCTTCTGTTTTTCCTCCTCTCTCTGCCCTACAAGCCCACACCCTGTGTTCATCAGTGGCCTGGTGAGCCTGCCCATAAGGCTCCCAGACCGGACATTGTGGGAGGGGCTTTGGCCATGGTCTGGGGCAGAGAAGGAGCAAAGAAACAGAAGTAGACAGGGAAGTCAAGAGTCTTTGCTTGTTCTTAGCAGAGGCTGTACCTCCTCGAGCCCCTCCCGGTCCTCCTTTCGTGTCAGTGTTCTGCCTCATGGGGCTGGCCCTGATGATGGCCGGCCCCACCACCCTCTGCCTCACTCCTGCCCAAAAGGGGGCAGGGGCTGGACACCCTGAGGACCCTCTGCCAGGGGCTGCCTGAGGCTCAATCAGGCCTATTTTTTACTAGTTTATATTATGATCCTAATTTTTAAAGTAACGCTAACTTTGTATAGGTGATGTCTCAAATGTATTAAATGATATTTGTTATGGAAGTATCTTTTGACCTGAGGGCTCAGGTAGAATGAAACCTGGAACATTATTTTTGGGGTGGGGGGTCAGCTATGAGGAACTCAGGGGCAGGGGCTTGGCCCAAAGGGACAGTGGAAAACTTGTCGGACTTCTGGGGCATTTGGTTGGACCAGAACCCAGGCTGCGGTCACATGGAGAGCCTCAGGGGGTTCCTTGAGAGGGCTGGGTTAAATCCTTAGACCCCTGGGGGCCCCCAGCCCTACCTGCCCAGCCCACAGTAAGGGAGCTGGCGGGGCCGAGGGGCAGGTCGCCCTGGCAGAGGTGGTGTGAGGGGAAAAGGCACAGTGCTTGTCCCTTCACTTCAGCTGGGGATGATCCCGTTCACTGCACTGCCTGTGCCTCCCCTCCAACCCTTCACCCCACACCCGGGAGCCACCCGGAAGGCGACGGGCCACAACCACTTTATTACAATGGACGGGACCCAGGGTGCCTGTGGCCTAGGGAGGAGGAGGAGGGGGCAGTACAGGGCCTGGGGAGGCAGGGGAGCCGGGAGCTACCCGCTGTTCCAGGGCTGAAGGTGAGAAGGGGCATCCCTGGGGCTGGGGAAAAAGAGCCCCTGAGCGCCTGGCTCCTGTGAGGGTGCTACCCTGGTGCTGAGCCCCTTCATGCCCAGAGGGTCCACCATTGATTCCTGAGGAGGGAAGAGCTGAGGCAAGGCTGCAGGACATTTCCCACTGTCTTTCCCAATCCAGCCCTGGCTTGGGCAGTTTGGAATGCAGGAGGTCCAGAGGGCCTCGTGAGGGCAGACTGGAGGATGCACACTTGTGCTCTAGCTGGGCAGCCTGGGCTGGGGAGAAGGCGCCCCATCTTCTTTTTTTCACTCCTGCCTGCTGCACCAGCACCTGGGAATCAGTCTCCCTTCCCGCTCAGCCGAGCTGAGGGGAGGCCAGGGCAGAGAAGAGGACATTGGGGCTATGTGGGAGCCCCCAGCCTGCCTCCCCACACCTCTGGCACCTGGCTGCGGGCACCCCGGGGCAGCGGCCAGGTGGTCAGCACGGTTTAGCAGTTGCTGTTCCTGCGCAGGCAGGAGTGGCCCCGCAGGGAGCACTGAAGCTCCGTGAAGGCGAGCGAGCCCACAGTGACGGCACACGGGCCCACAGGGTAGAAGCCGAACCTCTCGTAGAAGGGCACCAGCATATCCTCGCACATGAGCGCGGCTCGGCGCACGGCTGGGTGGCCGCCCAGGTGGTGCAGGTAGCGCCACAGCAGGACGGAGCCCTTGCCCTGCTGCCGGAAGGTGCGGTGCACAGCCAGCACGTGCAGGTGGGCCGTGCGGCCACCTGGCCTGTGCAGCGTCAGTGACTCCTGCGGGCAAACAAGCGACATGAGTCCCGGCTACCTCTGCTGACACCTGCCCCCCAAACTACCCCTACCTGGGCCAAGAGCAGGTGTCCCCTCTGTGCCTCCAATCAGGGCTCCCCTCCCACCCAAGCATGGCCCCAGATTGGGAGCTGCATCCCCAGCCCCGTGGAGGACCCTTCATGTGGGCCTTTGAGACCCCAGAGGGCTAGGCTCTCTTGCCCTGGAAAAGAACCCATGGCTTGTGCTCACCTTTCTGGTTCTGGAGGAAAAAACCCCAGCCTCTGGGTTCCTCTACCCCTATCTGCCTGGCCTTTGTGAGAGCAGCCAGAGGCCAGTGTACAGCGGCCTTTCTTCCAGGGGCCGGGCATCACAGCCCCACCTCGCTCTCACCTGAGTGAGCCTCCCCTCATCCCATAGCGAGCCGATGATGAAGGCGATGAGGCGGCCCTCCTGGAACCAGCCCAGGGACAGCTCCGGACAGAGGGTCAGGAAGTGCCGGATCTCATCCAGATACAGGGGGCAGGTGCCCGAGACGGAGATGAAGGCTGTGGCAGGAGGCACAGGTAGGTGACTCAGTGGTCACGTGCCGCATGCCCACTGTCCACTGCACACTGAGCGTCAGCTCAGACGCCGGGGGTGAGGTCTCCCACCCCCAATCTCTCCCACAGGAAAGCTGGAGATTCAGGGCTGTTGTTCCCCACCTAACTTTCCTGAACACTCATGCACATGTGTGCACACACAGAAACACAGTCTGATACTCTGGGGTCCCAAACACCGAGGACAGGAGACGTGAGGGTCTTTTCCCTACAGGGCAACTGCAGCACAGTACCCGGACTACAGCATCCCGGACCCTGTGTGGGCGCTGCTCACCCTCACGCTCAATCTCAAACACGCTAGCAGCATCCTCTGGGGTGAGGCAGCGAAACTCGCTGGCGGGGAGTGTGTGGCGCCGCTGGCGACTTGGGGATTCTGGGATCCCAGGTGGAAGGCGCAGGGCCGCGGGCTTCAGGTAGTGGATGCTCTGTGTGGACATCCTGGCTGCTGGTGCCACCTTGGGGTGCCCCAGCTTCAGAAGTGGCCTCCACAGTGGCCAACGAGGGCCCCCTAGCACCTGTTGGAGAAGAGTGAGGGTCAGGGGTCTGGTCCTCATCTCCAAGAGGGGCAGGCCAGAGTGATGGTGCGTCTTACCTTTTTTGTAGCTGGATCTGGGGTGGGGCCAGCCCCAAAGTGGATGGGCACATTCCCCAGGTTCCTGGCCCCCAGGGCAGTCTTGGGGACTGTCAACATTGGTGCTCTTTCCCCACCTTTCCCTCTCAGCCAGAAGTACCCACGGAGCACACCCTCCAAACCTCCACATTCTGGCCTCACTGCCCTCTGGGTACATCTGAGCCCTAGGAGACAGTGGGAGGGGTGGGCAGGGCTCGCTGGAACCTAGGGCACTCCAACACTGCTGCTCAAGAGAGAAGGGGGCATGAGCTTCCACTGACCACTTCTGATGCAACTGTTGGTGGTTCGTCTTACCTGCTCAGAGGGAGACTTTCCGCTCCTTTGGGTGCAAGATGGTGTGGCTGGGAGATTTTTAGGCAGCCTCCGCCCTCAGCCCTGGCGAAAAAGCCCTTAAAGTGAGTCCTTAGGGAGCGTCCACATTTACCCAGATGGCCTCAGCCTGGGCTGTGTGCACACAAAGTTGGGGGGGAGGTTAGGGGGTGTCCAAAGGGTAGGGAGGAATGGGCATGGAGGGCGTACGACACCTCCTGCCCTGCCCCTGGCTCATGGGCCATGCCCGTGGCACTTTTTGTCCCTCTCGCATGACACCATGCAGATGTGCAATTCTTAGAGGAGGCCACCCCTCCCTTAAATAAGCCCCATACTTCCACATTTGCCCTGCCTCGTCCACCTTCTCTCCCCATGTCTTGAAGCTGCAAGCAGAGTACTCTTGCCCCTGAAGGTGGGGAGCTGGGGCTGGGGGTCCCACTTACCAGGACTGTGGGGAGAGGGCCCCAATCACCCCAGGGGCCGTCCAGTGGCGCAGGAACCAGGAAAATCTGGGACTCCTGGGTGTGCGGCTGTTGCAGCAAGTGTGGCTGGGCAGCCTGTGATGTTGTCCAATTCCTAATCCCCCGCCCCACCCCTCCACAATATGCCAGGCAGGGGAAGCCGGCAGGGCTCTGGCAGCCCTGTGCCCAGTCCCCGCCTGCTGAGGGTAAAACATCCGCCTGGCGCGCTGGTCACGGAGGGGATTACTGTGGCCGACTGAGGCTGCAGGATTTGGGGAGAGCATGGGGCTAATCCCTGCTCTGGCTCTGACTGGCTGGGATGGGCCTTCATCCTCTGTCCCCTGGAGGCCTGGGCAAGCCCACCTCTAACAGTTCCTCCAGCTCCGGCAGCCCAAGAGTGCTGCCATTTATAGCTCTTCCTCCGTACAGAGCCCCAGGTCAGAGTCTCCTTTAATCCACGTGACAGCCCTGCCCAGTGAGTATTGACCCCATTTTATAGAGAAGACGTGAAGGTCTTTTAAATAACCTACTCAGAACCTCCTAGCAAGTCAGTCAAGCGGGAGAGGCAACCCTGGGTCTGGGTACGTGCTGCCCCTGGACTGCTGAGCCCACTGGATTTCCAAGTCTTCGCAGTTCTCCTGCTGGTCAGACAGCGTCCCCAAGTCAGTCTACTGAAGCAAAGGGACCCAGTGAGCAACCCATTGGTCTTGGGAGGAAATGCCTAAATCTGGCTCCAGGACGTGCAGGTGGAGCCCATGGGCCTGGAGAGGCAGGCAGGCAGGGCTTACTGTGTAGATGGTGGTAAGCCACTGAAAGGGCTCCATCATTGGACAAACCCCTATGTCCTGCCCTCATCAATGACCTCCTCCATCATGTATGTACCCAAAGTCTGGTTCCCCAAGTGTGCCCCTTTCCGGAGCACTTTGGGGAAGATCCCAAATCCAGAGGTGGGAGTCAAACCCTCCTGATCCCTGCTCTCCATCACCATCATCCATAACATCTTTCATTATCCATCACATCTTTCATCATCCATGACATCTTCCATCATCGCTCATCCATCTATCATCAAAAGCAGCCCAAACAAGGTTGTAAGAACCTTAAGCAGGGCCGGCCCTGTGGCTTAGTGGTTAAGTGCGCGCGCTCCGCTGCTGGCAGCCCGGGTTTGGATCCCGGGCGTGCACCGACGCACCGCTTCTCCGGCCATGCTGAGGCCGTGTCCCACATACAGCAAGTAGAAGGATGTGCAGCTATGCCATACAACT